AATCCACGCTTTACTAGCCCTTTAATATTTGTTTCTTCAAAAAAAAATTCATGCTTTACTAACCCTTGAATATTTGTTTCTTTAAAAATCAAAGCTTTTTGTTGGGCCTGGAATATTTTTTTCTTTAAAAATCCTCGCTTTACTAGTCCTTGAATATTTCTTTCTGTAAAAATCCACGCTATGCTGGGCCTTGAAAATTGTTTTCTTTAAAAATTCACGCTTTATTAGTCCTTGTATATTTGTTTCTTTAAGAATTCAGCTATCCCTAGAAAATTTCTTTCTTTAAAAATCCACGCTTTACTAACACTTGAATATTTGTTTCTTTAAAAATCAACGCTTTACTGGCCTTTGAATAATTGTTTCTTTAAAAATCAACGCTTTACTGGCCCTTTAATAATTGTTTCTTTAAAAATCCACGCTTTGCAAGCCCTTGAATATTTATTTCTTTAAAAATCCACGCCTGGCTAAGCCTTGATTTTTTTTCTTTAAAAATCCACACTTTACTAGCCCTTGAATATTTGTTTCTTTAAAAATCCACGCTTAACTAGCCCTTGAATATTTGTTTCTTTAAAAAACCACGCTTAACTAGCTCTTGAATATTTGTTTCTTTAAAAATCCACGCTTTACTAACCCTTGAAAATGATTTTCTTTAAAAAACATGCTTTGTTGGGACTTGAATATTTGTTTCTTTTAAAATCCACGCTTTACTAGTCCTTGAATATTTGTTTCTTTAAAAATCCTGGTCCTTGAATATTTGTTTCTTTTAAAATCCACGCTTTACTAGTCCTTGAATATTTGTTTCTTTAAAAATCCTGGTCCTTGAATATTTGTTTCTTTAAAAATCCACGCTTTACTAGTCCTTGAATAATTGTTTCTTTAAAAATCCACGCTTTACTAGTCCTTGAATATTTGTTTCTTTAAAAATCCACGCTCTGCTAGCCCTTGAATATTTGTTTCTTTAAAAATCCACGCTTTACTAGCCCTTGAATATTTATTTCTTTAAAAATCCACGCTCTGCTAGCCCTTGAATATTTGTTTCTTTAAAAATCCACGCTTTACTAGCCCTTGAAAATGGTTTTCTTTAAAAATCCAGGCTTTACCCTTGAAAATTTGTTTCTTTAAAAACTCATGCTTTACTAGCCCTTGAAAATGTTTTTCTTTAAAAATCCAGGCTTTACCTTTGAAAATTTATTTCTTTAAAAATTCATGCTTTACTAGCCCTTGAAAATTTGTTTCTATAAAAATCCACGCTTTACTAGCCCTTGAATATTTGTTTCTTTAAAAATCTACGCTTTGCTGGGCTTTGAAAAATTTTTTCTTTAAAAATCTGCGCTTTACTATCCCTTGAAAATTTGTTTTTTTAAAAATCCACGCTATGTTGGGCTTTGAAAATTGTTTTCTTTAAAAATCCACGCTATGTTGGGCTTTGAAAATTGTTTTCTTTAAAAATCCACGCTTTACTAGTCCTTGAATATTTGTTTCTATAAAAATCCACGCTTTACTAGCCCTTGAATATTTGTTTCTTTAAAAATCCACGCTTTGCTGGGCCTTCAAGATTTTTTTCTTTAAAAATCCTAGAATTTTTTTTCTTTAAAATCCACGCTTTGCTGTTTATGAGCCTCATGGTTACTCAAATTTTTGTCCCTTTCTGGGGGAGGTACCAGAAGGAGTGGACCGATACATTCCATCTTCACAGAAGATTTTGTGTTAGTAAAAATAAAGAGATGTGTGAAATATTAAGAGAACCGGATTCTTATTTTCTAATCGTTTTGGTTATTCCAAACATTGACCCTTTGTGGGGGAGGTACCAGAAGAAATGATCCAATCTCTACCATCTTTATAACAGATCTTGTGTTGATGGAAACATTGAGATGTACCAAGTCTGGAATGGAATCGGATGTTAATTTCGCGTTTTATGAGCTTCAAGGGTATTCACATTTTTGACCCTTTGTGGGGGAGGTACCGTGGGGAGTGGACCGATACATTCCATCTTCACAGAAGATTTTGTGTTAGTAAAAATAAAGAGATGTGTGAAACATGAAGAGAACCGGATGCTTATTCCAGATTTTATAATCGTTTTGGTTATTCAAAACTTTGACCCTTTGTGGGGAAGGTACCAGAAGAAATGGTCCGATCTCGACCATTTTTATAACAATTCTTGTGATGATAGAAATATTGAAATGTACCAAGTCTGAATGGAATCGGGTGTTAATTTCGCGTTTTATGAGCTTCAAGGGTATTCACATTTTTGACCCTTTGTGGGGGAGGTACAAAAAGGAATGGACCGATATATTCCATCTTCACAGCAGATCTTGTGTTAGTAAAAATAAAGAGATGTGTGAAACATGAAGAGTGCCGGATGCTTATTTCGGATTTTATGATCGTTTTGAGTATTCAAAACCTTGACCCTTTGTGGGGGAGGTACTTGATAGAGTAGACCGATGTTGTCAATTTTCTCACCTGTCCTAGCATTGATGCAAATATTAAGATTTGCTAAGTTGGAGCAAAATCTGATCATCGTTTCTCTTTCTGGGCAGTAAACCATTTTTTGAAATTTCCGACCTTTTGTGGGGGAGGTACCAGAAGGAGTTGATCGATATATTCCATCTTCACACCAGACCTTGGGTTAAGAAAAAATATTGTGATGTGTGTAATTTCGAGACATTCGGACTCTTACATCACATTTTACAAGAGTTATAATTATTCAAAATTTTGACGCTTTGTGTGGGAGGTGCTTGATGGAGTGGATCGATATTGTCCATTTTCGCACCTGACCTAGTACTGATGCAAATATTAGGATTTGCAAAGTTGGAGCAAAATCGAATTATATTTTCTCTTTCTGTGCAGTAAATTATTTTTTTGAAATTATTGACCTTTTGTGGGGGAGGTACCAGAAGGAGTGGACCGATACATTCCATCTTAACGCCAGACCTTGGGTTAAGAAAAAATATTGTGATGTGTGTAATTTCGAGACATTCGGACTCTTACATCACATTTTACAAGAGTTATAATTATTCAAAATTATGACCCTTTGTGGGGGAACTACTTGATGGAGTGGATCGATATTGTCCATTTTTTCACCTGACCTAGCACTGATGCAGATATTAGGATTTGCAAAGTTGGAGCAAAATCGAATTATATTTTCTCTTTCTGTGCAGTAAATTATTTTTTTGAAATTATTGACCTTTTGTGGGGGAGGTACCAGAAGGAGTGGACCGATACATTCCATCTTAACGCCAGACCTTGGGTTGATAAAAATATTGGGATTTGTGTAATTTGAAGACAATCGGACCATTACATCCCATTTCATAAGAGTTATAATTATTCAAAATTTTGACCATCTGTGGGAGAGGTACTTGATGGAGTGGGCCGATATTGTCCATTTTCGAATATGACCTAGAACTGATGCAAATATTAGGATTTTCGAAGTTGGAGCAAAATCAGATTATCCTTTCTCTTTTTGTGCAGTAAATAATGTTCTTTGAAAATGTTAACATTTTGTGGGGGATTCCAGAAGGAGTGGACCGGTATATTCCATCTTAACACCAGACCTTTAGTTAATAAAAATATTAGGGTGTGTGTAATTTGAAGACAATCGGTCTCTTATGTCACATTTTATGAGAGTCATAATTATTCAAAATGATGACCCTTTTTGTGGGAGGTACTTGATTGAGTGGACGGATATTGTCCATTTTCTCACCAGACCTAGCACTGATGCAAATATTAGGATTTGCAAAGTTGGAACAAAATCGGATTATCCTTTCTCTTTTTGTGCAAAAAATATTTTTTGAAAATGTCGATCTTTTGTGGTACACAAGGAGTACTCCGATACATTTCATCTTCACACCAGACCCTAGTTTAATAAAAATATTTTGATGGGTGTAATTTGAAGACAATCGGATACTTACATCACATTTTATAAGACTTATAATTATTCAAAATTTTGACCCTTTGTGGGAGAGGTACTTGATGGAGTGGGCCGATATTGTCCATTTTCAAATATGACCTAGGACTGATGCAAATATTAGGATTTCCAAAGTTGGAGCAAAATCGGATTGTACTTTCTCTTTCTGTGCAGTAAAATATTTTGTTTGAAATTGTCGACCTTTTATGGGCCGACTCTTTCTGGTGGGCCGATATTATCCATCTTCTCACCAGACCTTAGGTTAAGAAAAAATATCGTGATGTGTGTAATTTGAAGATAATCGGACACTTACATCCCGTTTTATAAGAGTTATAATTATTCACAATTTTGACGCTTTGTGGGGGAGGTACTTGATGGAGTAGACCGATGTTGTCAATTTTCTCACCTGACCTAGCACTAATGGAAATATTAAGATTTGCAAAGTTGGAGCAAAATCGGAATATCCTTTCTCTTTCTGTGCAGTAAAATATTTTTTTTTGAAATTGTCGACCTTTTATGGGGGAGGTACCAGAAGGAGTGGGCCGATACATTTCATATTCTCACCAGACCTTGGGTTCATAAAAATATTGTGATCTGTATAATTTCGAGACAACCAAACTCTTACACCCCATTTTATAAGAGTTATAATTATTTAAAATTTTGACCCTTTGTGGGGGAGGTACTTGATAGAGTAGACCGATGTTGTCAATTTTCTCACCTGACCTAGCACTGATGCAAATATTAGGATTTGCAAAGTTGGAGCAAAATCTGATTATCCTTTCTCTTTCTGGGCAGTAAACCATTTTTTGAAATTTCCGACCTTTTGTGGGGGAGGTACCAGAAAGAGTTGATCGATATATTCCATCTTCACACCAGACCTTAGGTTAATAAAAATATTGTGATGTGTGTAATTTGAAGATAATCGGACACTTACATCCCGTTTTATAAGAGTTATAATTATTCAAAATTTTGACGCTTTGTGGGTGAGGTGCTTGATGGAGTGGGCCGATGTTGTCCATTTTCTCACCTGACCTAGCACAAGATGCAAGTATTAGGATTTGCATTTCCCATTTCAAAATTTTGCTTTTATTTCCAGATTTGGGACACTGCTGGCCAGGAACGTTTTCGTGCATTGCGTACCCCCTTCTATCGCGGTTCAGATGTCTGTCTCTTGTGCTATGCCATCGATGATTATGACAGTTTTCGTGGCCTAAAACAATGGCGTCAGGAATTTTTACACTATGCCGATGTTAATGCCGATAAGTTCCCCTTTATTGTTGTGGGTAATAAGGTAAGTGTGAAGATCTCACTTTCAATTTCCAGAAATACTTTTCATATTTCCCATATTATCTTTTATTGCAGAACGATATGGCCCATCATTGCCGCCAGGTGCCCTACGATGAGGTGAAACAATGGTGCGATCAAAATAACATCAACTGTCAAATTGAAACCTCATCGAAGACAGCGACCAATGTAACAGATGCCTTCGTATTGGCTGTACGCCAATGGAAACATATGGAACGTATTGCGGAAATTGAATTGAAACAAAACGATACAATTGATTTGACCAAAACGATTAAATTGGCGCACAATCGTTTTTGTTGTACTGGCGGTGGCGGTGGTAGTAGTGCGGCATCCACAAATGCCGATTCCGAGGATGAAAGTATGAATATTGTGTCGCCCAAACGTTTCGGGCGAAGACAGCAGCAGCAGCAAAAGGCATCGTCAACACAATTTCAGCTTTAAGTTTTCTGTATGTAGGAATGGAAACGTAAATACTGTACTGTATGTATCATTCAAATTGGTTGTAAGTTATTCTGTTTGGTTTTTATTTTCAATTTTTTTTTAAGAAAATGAATGACCAACTCCTCTTTTTTTAGAAAATTTAAGAAACAAAGATATAAGTACTTCCACCAGAATAGTCTGGATTCTTTGATCATTGATCATTTCGTCTGGATTCTTTTTATCAACGAATTTAAAAAAGGGAGAAATCTAATTAAACTCTCTGATGATGACTATCGGAGATAGTCGAAGTATCGGAAAAATTAATTTAAAAAATTTGTCTGTTTTTTATACCCTCAGCCACATATATAGAGAGGCTATATATCATTTGTTATGGCCAAAAAATAATGCTTCTAGACGCTAGGTCTCTTTGGACCAAATTAATTAATTTCATTTCAGAACATTTGGAGTCGATCTAGTGATGCCCGTCTGTCTGTCTGTCTGGCTTGTATGCACGATAACTCTCAAAGGAAGTATTCGATTTGATCCAAACTTGGTACATCGTAATATTATTATCAAATTTAGATCGAGTTCCGAGATGGGCAATATCGGTCCACCCCTTCTAGTACCTCCCCCACAAAATGTTAACAGTTTCAAAGAAAATAATTTACTGCACAGAAAGAGAAAGGATAATCCGATTTTGTTCCAACTTTGCAAATCTTAGTATTTGCATCAGTGCTAGGTCAGGTGCGAAAATGGATAATATCGGTCCACTCCATCAAGTACCTCCCACACAAAGGGTCAACATTTTGAATAATTATAACTCTTATAAAATGTTATGTAAGTATCCGATCGTCTTCAAATTTCACACATCACAATATTTTAATTGACTCAAGGTTTTGTGTGAAGATGGAATGTATCGGTCCACTCCTTCTGGTACCTGCCCCACAAAAGGTCAATAATTTCAAAAAAATAATTTACTGCACAGAAAGAGAAAATATAATTCGATTTTGCTCCAACTTTGCAAATCTTAATAATTGCATCAGTGCCAGGTTATATGCGAAAATGGACAAAATCCGTCCACTCCATCAAGTACCTCCCACACATAGGGTCAACATTTTCAATAATTATAACTCTTATAAAATGTGATGTAAGTGTCCGATTGTCTTCAAATTTCACACATCACAATATTTTCATTAAGCCAAGGTTTGGTGTGAAGATGGAATATATTGGTCCACTCCTTCTGGTACCTACCCCACAAATGGTCCAAATTTTGAATATCTATGAAGCTCATAAAACGAGAAATTAACATCCGATTCCATTCAGATTTGGTACATCTCGATATTTCCATCAACACACGATCTCTTATAAAGATGGTAGAGATCGGACCATTCCTTCTGGTACCTCCCCCACAAAGGGTCAAAATTTTGAATATTCATGACATTCATAAAAGACGAAATTAACATCCGATTCCATTCAGATTTGGTACATCTCGATATTTCCATCAACACAAGATCTCTTATAAAGATGGTAGAGATCGGACCATTCCTTCTGGTACCTTCCCCACAAAGGGTTAAAAGTCTTGAATAACCAAAACGACCATAAAATCCGAAATAAGCATCCAACTCTCTTCAAATTATACACATCCCATTATTTCTGTTGACACAAGATTTGCTGTGAAGATGGAATATATCAGCCTACTCCTTCTGATACCTCTCCCACAAAGGGTCAAAATTTTGAATATTTATGAAGCTCATAAAACGCAAAATTTAACATCCGATTTCATTCAGACTTGGCACATCTCAATATTTCCATCAACACAAGATCTGTTATGAGGATGGTAGAGATCGGACTATTTCTTCTGGTATCTCCCCCACAAAGGGTCAACATTTTGAATATTTATTAAGCTCATAAAACGCAAAATAACCAACCGATTCCATTCAGACGTGGTAAGTCTCAATATTTCCATCAACACAAGGTATGTTATAAAGATGGTAGAGATCGGTCCATTTCTTCTTTTACCTACCCCACAAAGGGTCAAAGTCTTGAATAACCAAAAACACCATAAAATCCAAAATAAGCATCCGGTTCTCTTCATATTTCACACATTCCATTATTTCTACTAACACAAGATCTGCTGTGAATATGGTATATGTCCGTTCACTCCTTCTGGTACCTCCCCCAAAAAGGGTCAAAATTTTGAATATCTATGAAGCTCATAAAACGCGAAATTAACATCCGATTCCATTCAGATTTGGTACATCTCAATATTTCCATCAACACAAGATCTGTTACAAAGACAGTAGAGTTCGGACCATTGCTTGTGGTAACTCCCCCACAAAAGGTCAACGTCTTGAATAACCGAAAACGACCATTAATTTCGAAATAAGCATCCGGTTCACTTCGTATTTCACACATGCCATTATTTTTACTAACCCAAGGTTTGGTGAGAAGATGGTATATATCCGTTCACTCCTTCAGGTACCTCCCCCACAAAGTGTCAACATTTTTGAGTAACCATGAGACTCATAAAACGCGAAATTAACACCCGATTCCATTCAGACTTGGTACATCTCAATATTTCCATCAACACAATATTTATTATAAAGATTGTAGAGATCTTACCCTTTCTTCTGGTACCTCCCCCACAAAGGGTTAAAAGTCTTGAATAACCAAAACGATAATAAAAACCGAATAAAGCATCCGGTTCTCTTCATATTTCATACAACCCATTATTTCTATTGACACAAGATCTGGTGTGAAGATGGTATATATCGGTCCACTCCTTCTGGTACCTCCCCCAAAAAGGGTCAAAATTTTTAATATCTATGAAGCTCATGAAACGCGAAATTAACATCCGATTCCATTCAGATTTGGTACATCTCGATATTTCCATCAACACAAGATCTCTTATAAAGATGGTAGAGATCGGACCATTCCTTCTGGTACCTCCCCCACAAAGGCTGAAAGTCTTGAATAACCAAAACGATCATAAAATTCGAAATAAGCATCCGATTCTCTTCAAATTACACACATCACAATATTTTTATTAACTCAAGGTCTGGTGTGAAGATAGGATATATCGGTTCACTCCTTCCGGTACCTCCCCCACAAAGGGTCAATATTTTTCAGTAACCATGAGGCTCATAAAACGTGAAATTAACACTTGATTTCATTCAGACTTGGTACATCTCGATATTTCCATCAACACACGATCTCTTAAAATAGAGATCGGACCATTTTTCTGGTAGCTCCCCCACATAGGGTTCTAAGTCTTGAATAACCAAAACGGTTATAAAATTCGAAATAAGCATCCGGTTCTCCTCAAATTTCACACAACTCATTAGTTCTATTGACACAAGATCTGCTGTGAAGATGGGACATATCGGTCCACTCCTTCTGATACCTCCCCCACAAAGGGTCAAAATTTTGAGTTACCATGAGGCTCATTAAACACGAAATTTACATCCGATTCCATTTAGACATGATACATCTCAATATTTCCATCAACACAAGATCTGTTATAAAGATGGTAGAGATCGGACCATTTCTTCTGGTACCTCCCCCACAAAGGGTTAAAAGTCTTGAATAACCAAAAACGATCATAAAATTCGAAATTAGCATCCGGTTCGCTTGAAATTACACACATCACAATGTTTTCATTAATTCAAGGTTTGGTGTGAACATGGCATATATCGGTCCACTCCTTCTGGTACCTCCCCCCACAAGACGTCAACATTTTGAGTAAACATGAAGTTCATAAAACGCGAAATTAACATCCGATTCCATTAAGATTTGGTACATCTCAATATTTCCATCAACACAAGATCTGTTACAAAGATAGTAGAGATCGGACCATTCCTTCTGGTACCTCCCCCACAAAGGGTCAAGGGTTTGAATAACGAAAAACAATCATAAAAATTGAAATAAGCATCCGGTTCTCTTCGTATTTCACACATGCCATTATTTTTACTAACCCAAGGTTTGGTGTGAAGATGGAATATATCGGTCCACTCCTTCTGATACCTCCCCACAAAGGGTCAAAATTTTGAGTAACCATGAGGCTCATTAAACACGAAATTTACATCCGAATCCATTCAGACTTGGAACATCTCAATATTTCCATCAACACAAGATCTCTAATAAAAATGGTAGAGATCGGACCATTTATTCTGGTATCTCCCCCACAAAGGGTCAACGTCTTGAATAACCAAAAACGATCATAAAATCCGAAATAAGTTACCAACTCTCTTCAAATTACACACATCACAATATTTCCACTGATCCAAGGTTTGGTGAGAAGATGACATATATCCGTTCACTCCTTCAGGTACCTCCCCCCCAAAGGGTCAAAAATTTTGAGTAACCATGAGGCTCATAAAACGCGAAATTAACATTCGATTCCATCAACTCAAGATTTGTTAGAAAGATGACAGAGATCGGATCGAATGGACAATATTGGCCCATTTCTTCGGAACCTATTCCATAGAGAGTCAACAATTTGAATAATCATAACAGAAGTCAAAATATATTTAATTAATCGATCACTGGCTGAGGGTATACATCTGTCGGCAAAACCAACTGATGTTTTCTAACTTTTTTTTTGAGAAAATGAAGTATCAGATCCTCTTCCAGATCCAAAATAATAAGAAACAGAGAGGTCAATACATCCTTCAGACTTAAAAAAAACTTTCCCCCGCAGCTAAGGAACCTAAACATTCCAATTTCAACATTTCAGTGTAGCTTATAGACTTTAAGAGTGGTTCCCAAAGCAACATCGAAACATTCCAGTGAAAGAATCTCATTAGGATAATTGCAATGTTTATTTAAATTTGTCCTACAAATATTTATTAGCTAACTTTTTTTAAACCGTCCCCTTCTTTTTTGTACCCAGAGTGAGTTGGTTGTTTGAAAAAAAAATCCAAAAAAAATATTTTTTTTTTAATTTTACATTTTTACAAAATAAGCGAAAACGCACCAAAATACTAAGATTTAAGTTAAAGTAACAAAAAAAAGTATTACCAGTTGATATAATCCCAATGTTTTACCTAATTTGGCTTTTTAGACCACACCCCCGATATTTACCCCTTGAAAAACTAAGTTAGTGCCTTTCCCCCATTCCCTCAAAAGACAAAGAAAAAACCCCAATTAAATTGGGTCTTACAATTCTGTTGCAGCAGCATAGCTTTTAATTGATTTTTAATACCAATAACAACAACAACAACTATATTGTAAATTATGTATGTAGTATTAAGGTTGTCAAAAAGAAAAAAACACTTAATTGTCAAAAAATTTTCGAAACGAAATTTGAATGTAAAAAAAAATTGAAACTATGCTATTGTGCATTTTCATAAATTTGTTATGAACATATTTAGCTTTAGTATTGTAATTTCCTTTTTATTTTAAATTGTAAGATGATTATTTATATCATTTTGAGATATAATCATAAACATAAATTATATATAAATTCCATTTAATTTATTATTTTATTAAAATAATATATTGTAATATTTAAAAAACAAAAATACACTTCAGAAGAAAATATAGCAGTTTGTTTCAATGTTTTTCTGAAGAATATATTTTTCCAAGATTAAGGAGCGTTGATTTTTTTAAATATATTTTCTCAAAATGTAACTCCGTGGATGAAAAACATATCTTTGAGCTACGTGGATTTTTTAAAATATTTTTTTTTTCAAAAATCTTTCGACGTGTTTATTTTATTTTAAATATTGTTCCCAAATATCTGACGAGTTGGATTTATTTGAAATAAATTTTTCAAAGATCAAGCCACGTGAATTTTTAAAATTATTTTTTCCCAAACATCTGACGAGTCTGATTTTTATACCCACCACCTTGAAAAGGATGATATATTAACTTTGTCGTAGACCCCATAAAGTACATACAGGGTGAGATAAAAAACTACAATAAAGTCAAACGCCATAATTTTTAATTTTTAAATTTTATTGAATGAAAGCAAAAAAATTTCGGAAATAGCATCAGATTTTAGAAAAAGTTTAGATTTGTTCCAATTGGTCAGCTTTGGCACGAATTATGGCCTTCGGAACCGGCCCATTATTTTGATGCCACGGTCGATTAATACGAGCGGAGAGGGACCATCGGCTGTAATGGAGGCCTACAATTTTGGAATTTTTTAAAAATATTTTTAAAATGATATTTTCCAATTTTTTTTAAAAACCGTCAATCAACGTGGATTTTTTAAAAATATTTTTTAAAAGATATTGAATCAACGTGGATTTTTTTAAATAGTTTTTAAAAGATTTTCAATCAACGTGGATTTTTTAAAAATATTTTTTAAAAGGAGCTCAATCAACGTGGATTTTTTTTTTAATATTTTTTAAAGGACCTTCAATCAATTTTTTTTATAAAAAATTTTTCAAAGGACATTCAAGCAACGGGGATTTTTTTTCAAAGGACATTCAAGCAACAGGAATTCTTTAAAAATATTTTTGAAGGACATTCAAGCAACGGGGATTTTTTTAAAAATATTTTTAAAAGGATCTTCAACTAACGTGGAATTTTTAAAAATATTTTAAAAGGATCTTCAATCAACGTGGATTTTTTAAAAATCCTTTTAAAAGGATCTTCAATCAACGTGGTTTTTTTTTAAATATTTTTGATAGGATCTTAAATCAACGTGGATTTTTTAAAAATATTTTTAAAAGGATCTTAAATCAACGTGGATTTTTTAAAAATATTTTTGAGGACCGTTAGCTAACGAGGATTTTTTAAAAATATTTTTTGAAGGATATTTAATCAACGATGGTTTTTTAAAAATATTTTTGACGGACCTTTAATCAACGATGATTTTTTAAAAATATTTTTGACGGACCTTTAATCAACGATGATTTTTTAAAAATATTTTTGACGGACCTTTAATCAAAGTGGATTTTTTAAAAATATTTTTAAGGACCATTAGCTAAGGAGGATTTTTTAAAAAAATATTTTTGACGGACCCTTAATCAACGTGGATTTTTTAAAAATATTTTTAAGGCCCATTACCTAAGGAGGATTTTTTAAAAAAATATTTTTGACGGACCCTTAATCAACGTGGATTTTTTAAAAATATTTTTTTAAAAAACATTCAAGCAATTTTTTTAAGTTTTTTTTTTTCAAAGGACATTCAAGCAACAGGGATTCTTTAAAAATATTTTTTGAAGGATATTCAATCAACGATGATTTTTTAAAAATATTTTTGACGGACCTTTAATCAATGTGGATTTTTTTAAAAATATTTTTAAAAGGATCTTAAATCAACTGGATTTTTTAAAAATATTTTTAAGAACCATTAGCTAAGGAGGATTTTTTAAAAAAATATTTTTGACGGACCCTTAATCAACGTGGATTTTTTAAAAATATTTTTTCAAAAAACATTCAAGCAACGGGGGTTTTTTTAAATTTTTTTTTCAAAGGACATTCAAGCAACAGGGATTCTTTAAAAATATTTTTAAAGGACATTCAAGCAACGGGGATTTTTAAAAATATTTTTAAAAGGATCTTCAATTAACGTGGATTTTTTTAAATATTTTTAAAAGAATCTTCAATCAACGTCGATTTATTAAAAATATTTTTAAAAGGATCTTAAATCAACTGGATTTTTTAAAAATATTTTTGACGGACCTTTAATCAAAGTACATTTTTTAAAAATATTTTTAAGGACCCTTAGCTTTTTTAAAAATATTTTTAAAAGGATCTTCAATCAACGTGGATTTTTTAAAAATCCTTTTAAAAGGATCTTCAATCAACGTGGATTTTTTTAAAAATATTTTTAAAAGGATCTTAAATCAACGTGGATTTTTTAAAAATATTTTTAAAAGGATTTTCAATCAACGTGGATTTTTTTAAAAATATTTTTAAAAGGATCTTAAATCAACTGGATTTTTTAAAAATATTTTTGACGGACCTTTAATCAAAGTACATTTTTTAAAAATATTTTTAAGGACCCTTAGCTTTTTTAAAAATATTTTTAAAAGGATCTTCAATCAACGTGGATTTTTTAAAAATCCTTTTAAAAGGATCTTCAATCAACGTGGATTTTTTAAAAATACTTTTTAAAAGGATCTTCAATCAACGTGGATTTTTTAAAAATATTTTTTAAAAGGATCTTCAATCAACGTGGATTTTTTAAAAATATTTTTTAAAAGGATCTTCAATCAACGTGGATTTTTTAAAAATATTTTTTAAAGAATTTTCAATCAACGTGGAATTTTTTAAACATATTTTTTAAAGGAGCTTCTATCAACCTGGATTTTTAAAAATATTTTTAAAAGAATCTTCAATCAACGTGGATTTTTTTAAAAATATTTTTAAAAGGATCTTCAACTAACATGGATTTTTTAAAAATATTTTAAAAGGATCTTCAATCAACGTGGATTTTTTAAAAATCCTTTTAAAAGGATCTTCAATCAACGTGGATTTTTTAAAAATATTTTTTAAAAGGAGCTCAATCAACGTGGATTTTTTAAAAATATTTTTAAAACGATTTTCAATCAACGTGGATTTTTTTAAAAATATTTTTAAAAGGATCTTAAATCAACGTGGATTTTTTTAAAATATTTTTAAGGACCGTTAGCTAACGAGGATTTTTTAAAAATATTTTTTGAAGGATATTCAATCAACGATGATTTTTTAAAAATATTTTTGACGGACCTTTAATCAACGTGGATTTTTTAAAAATATTTTTTAGAACCATTAGCTAAGGTGGATTTTTTAAAAATATTTTTAAGAACCATTAGCTAAGGAGGATTTTTTAAAAATATATTTTTGACGGACCCTTAATCAACGTCGATTTTTTAAAAATATTTTTTCAAAAAACATTCAAGCAACGGGGATTTTTTTAAATATTTTTTCAAAAAACATTCAAGCAACAGGGATTCTTTAAAAATATTTTTAAAGGACATTCAAGCAACGGGGATTTTTAAAAATATTTTCAAAAGGATTTTCAATTAACGTGGATTTTTTTAAAATATTTTTGAAAGGATCTTCAATCAACGTGGATTTTTTAAAAATATTTTTTAAAAGGATCTTCAATCAACGTGGATTTTTTAAAAATATTTTTTAAAAGGATCCTCAATCAACGTGGATTTTTTAAAAATACTTTTTAAAAGGATCTTCGATCAACGTGGATTTTTTAAAAATTTTATTTAAAGATATTTAATCCAAATCGATTTTTTAAAAATTGTATTTAAAGATATTTAATCAACATCGATTTTTTAAAAAAGATTTTTTTATGAATCTTCAATCAACATGGATTTTTTAAAAATATTTTTTAAAAGGATCTTCAATCAACTTGGATTTGTTAAAAATACTTTTTGAAGGATCTTCAATCAACGTGGAATTTTTTAAAAGTATTTTCTATCAATGTGGACTTTTTAAAAATGTTTTGTTTAAGGATCTTCAATTAATGTAGATTTAAAAAAAAAAAAATTAATGGATCTTCAATCAACGTGGATTTTTTAAAAATATTTTGTAAAGGATTTTTAATCAACGTGGAATCTTTAAAAATATTTTTGTAAAAGATTTTTACAAATATTTTTAAAAGATTTTTTACAAATATTTTATAAAGGATCTTCAATCAAAGAGGATTTATTAAAAATATTTTTAAAAGGACTTGGATTTTTTAAAAATATTTTTCGAAGGATCTTCAATCAACGTAGATTTTTTAAAAATATTTTTTAAAGGATCTGCAACTTTTTTAAAGTGGAGCTTATAAAAATATTTTTTAAAGGACCTCCAATCAACAAGGATTTTTTAAAAATATTTTTTAAAGGACATTCAACAAACGGGAATTTTTTAAAAATATTTTTTAAAGGATCTTCAATCAACGTGGATTTTTTAAAATATTTTTAAAGGACATTTAACCAACGAGAATTTTTTAAAAAATATTTGTTAAAGAATCTTTAATTAACGTGGATTTTTTTAAAAATATTTTTTTTAATCTTCAATCAACGTGGATTCTTTAAAAATATTTTTTTAAAAATCTTCAATCAACGTGGATTTTTTAAAAATATTTTTTTAAAAATCTTCAATCAACGTTGATTTTTTAAAAATATTTTTTTAAGGGACCATCAAGAAACGTAAATTTTTTAAAAATATTTTTTAAAGAACCTTCAATCAACGTGAATTTGTTTAAAAATATTTTTTAAAGGATCTTCAATCAACGTGAATTTTTTAAAAATATATTTTAAAGAAGCTTCCCTCAACGTGGATTTTTTAAAAATATTTTGTAAAAATATATTCAACCTGTATTTTTTGAAATGTTTTTTTAATGATTTCTAAAAATGTAGTTCCATGGATGAAAAAATACTTTTAGCTATGAGCATTATTTTTTTTTTCAAAAATAACTTACGGCGCGGACTTTTTAAAAAACTTTATTCCCAAATGTCTAACGATTTGGATTTTTTTAAATAAATTTTCTAAAGATTCATTTTTTCATCAAAATCTAGTCCGAATTTTTTTTATTTTTTCCAAATATATATCGACGTGTTTATTTAAAAAAATATATTTTGTCCCAAAATATCTAACGATTTGGATTATTTTTTAAATGAATTTTCCTAAGATCCAGCAAAGTGGATTTTTAAAATTATTCTTTCCAAGGATCCCGATGGCCCATCACTTTTAATATATATTTTTTTAATTTTTTTCTGTTCACTGATCACTTTGAATATTTTACAAAAATATTTTTTGTTATTGTCAGGCTTAATCCCATTATTGTTGATTTTATAAAAACAACGTTTGTTTATTGCTGGAGAACGATGGTAATCTTTACCAAGGGATAAGGCAGGAAATACCTATGTTTCAGAAAGAGCCACCAACCCTCATCAGTTCCCTTGTTGTTTGTCTGGGATATTCTCCTCAGAAGTTATTTTAAAAATAACTCCTATGACAAAAAAAAAACATTTTTTTACCCAAGTGGCGAGATCGTAAGGTGAATAGACAAACATGTCAACACTGTTCTAAAAATATTTTTTCCTAAAGCATATTACCTAAATATTTTCCTATAACCCATCGCTTTCGATTACTTACAATTAAAAAAAAAAGTAATTTCTATTGATTTTATTTTAGCATTTGTTGTTTATTTAGGCATAATTTCTACATAAAAAATATATTTTTAAAAAATTAACTTAAATATTTGTTCATAAATTTGGCGATAGCATTTTGAGTTTTCTTCGTCTTTAAAACTTTTTCTTGAAAATTTAACAACAACAAACTTATAGACTACAGAAACCTTTGACTTAAAATTATAAATATATTTATATATAAAAAAACAATATACCAAAAATATTATTATTATTAAATAATTACAGCCCCCGCATAATACAGTCGTGTTTGAGGTTATAATGAAAATTTAAATTCTATTTTCAGACCCCTTTTTTTAACTGTATATAAGAAAAGTTATATATACATGGAAATTTCAGGAAATTTCCAGGTGTTGTAGACTCTTATGGAGTTTAAGTAACTCCATACTTATGACTTGAGAATTTCTAAGAATAATTGGAAAAAATTATAATAATAAATTAATACAGAAAATGTTTAGTTGATAAAAGGAAAATAATTGTAAAGCTAAGAAAGTAATCAATTGGAGGATTTTAAAAATAACCGGATTTTTAGGAGTCATAACTTCGGAGATTATCAAGAATTTTTGAATAAATTATGTAGATTTCGAAAAAGGGACATCTGATCTTTAAAACTTATAAGCAATACTTTGATCTACCAAAACAAATTTTCGAGTTATAGGAAAGTTAACAAAAGAAGAATAATAACTGGTGATATTCTAAGGATGGGGCCAATAATTTATGCGGACCGGGTTTTCCAAATATTTAAAAATCGTTGAACAATAATTTTTTCGGGGCCATAACTTGAGAAGTTTTTGAGATATCTTTACATTTAGACTGAATTATGAAAGAGCATCATCTCAGCTTTGAACGAGGATAAACATTTTGGTCTTGTGCCGAGTGAAATTGCAGAGATATAGCCACAAATTCATGTGCCTTAAATTTTTTAAATATTTGCAATTTCTTGGGTAATCATTTTCAAATGGCTATAACTTGTAAAATATTTAACGTATATTCAAGATGTAGCTCAATTATGAAAGAAGAACATCTGATCTTTAAATGTGGGAAAAAATTGTCCTCTGTCCGTTAAAATTTCAGAGATATTGGGAAAAATACATGAGACCTCAAATTTATTAACAATTGAAATTTTTTGAGTAATCATTTTCCTGTGGCCATAACTCGGGATATATTTGACAGATTTTCGAGATTTAAACGAATTACGAAAGAGAAATATCTATTCTTAAAATGAGGAAGGAGATTCGGTCTTGTGCCAAGTGAAATTGTAGAGATATAGCCAAAAATGCGTGTGACTCAAATTTTTAAATTTTTCCGCTTTATTGAGTAAACATTTTCAAATGGCTATAGCTTGTAAAATTGTAAACGTATATTTAAAATGTAGCTCAATTATGAAAGAAGAACGTCCAATGTGTAAATGAAGAAAAAAATGTTGTCCTATGTCCGTAGCAAATTCCAGAGATATTGGGAAATTTCATGCGAGCTCCAATTTCTTCAAATTTGAAAATTTTTGAGGTTATCATTTTCCTGTGGCTGTAACTCGGGAAATATTTGACGCATTGACAAGATATAACCAAATTTCGAAAGAGTGGAATCTTATCTTATAACGAGGAAAGAGATTCGGTATTGTGTCTAGAGAAATTATAGAGATATAGCCAAAAATGCATGTGATCAAATTTTTCAATATTTCCGATTTGTTGAGTAAACATTTTCAAATGGCTATAACTTGTAAAATTGTAAACGTATATTCAGGATGTAGCTCAATTCTGAAAGAAGAACGTCCAATGTGTAAATGAAGAACAAAATATTGACATATGTCCGTTGAAATTCCAGAGATATTTGGAAATTTCATGCGTGCTCCAATTTCCTCAAATTTGAAATTTTTTGAGGTTATCATTTTTCTGTGGCCATAACTCGGGAAATATTGGACAAATTTTCAAAATGTAAACGGTTTATGAAAAAGTGGAATCTTATCTTATAACGAGGAAAGAGATTTGGACTTGTGCCTAGAGAAATTCTGAAGTTATTGCCAAAATTTCAAATGAATCGATTTTTTCCTATATTTCACATTTGTTGAGTGATTCATTTTAAGTGGCTATAACTTCTGAAATATTTAACGTATCTTCAAGATGTAGTTCAATTATGAAAGAGGAACATCTAAGCTTTGTATGAGGAAAAAATCTTTAGCGTGGCTGGTATAAATCCAGAGATATTGTGAATAATTCATGAGAACTCAAATTTTTGAACATTTGAAATTATTTGGGTAATCTTTTTCCTATGGCCATAATTTGGGAAATATTTGATGCATTGACAAGATATAACCAAATTACGAAAGAGCGGAATCTAATCTTATAACGAGGAAAGAGATTTTGACTTGTGCCTAGAAAAATTCTGAAGTTTTTACCCAAAGTTCAAATGGGTCGATTTTTTCCTAAATTTCACATTTGTTGAGTGATTCATTTTAAGTGGCTATAACTTCTGAAATATTTAACGTATCTTCAAGATGTAGTTTAATCATGAAAGAGGAACATCTAAGCTTTGAATGAGGAAAAAATCTCCAACGTGGCTGATGTAATTCCAGAGATATCAGGAAAAAATCATAAGAGTTTCAATTTTTTTAAATTTAAGATTATTTAAGTAATCTTTTTCTGAAGGCTATAACTCGTGAAATATTTGACGTATCTTCCAACATTTTGGTGGATAATGAAGGGGGAACTTAAGATCTTAAAAAAGTACCACCTTATTTTAAATTATTCCCAATATTAAGACTGATTTTTAAGCACAGAAAACGATATTTAAAATTGTTTGAAAAAATTTCCCCTTAATTGATTACTTTCCTAGGCTTTACAAATTGCTTTTCTTAAATTAAAAAATCTAAATTTTTAAACTAAAAATAATAATTTGCGCTGATTTTGTGCTGGCAATAAAATGGAATGCTTGGTGAGTGTCTTCCACTACTCCTCCTCATTTCTTATAGCCATAGGTATTGATGGCTTCATATTCCTTCTCGGCCTGCACCAGCAGTTTGTACCATTGATCTCCGTTGAAACGTGGCTCCTTGCGGGTGCCACCATAGACGGCAGGCAAGCATTCGGGGCTCATGTGTTTGTACAGCGACTGACGATCGGTACCATGGAAATAGATACGTGATCGTAGTTTCTCTCTCAAGAAGGGCTTGAATAGCGAGAAGACTACATTGAAAATTTTCGGTTGATTTACAACATGAATAGCCTTTACACGCAACGGTACCGAATCCTGCAGCCAGTCAACAATACGTTTGGCAAAGGCTGGGGTAAATTGCCAGGTTTGTTGTAAACTCAAACCGTCCATATCGAAGATGACCACAACACCATTGATTTGCGTCTCCGGTTCCCACATGGCAGCCTCGAGATAAAGAACGGCGGCCTTGAAGACTTCATCCAAGGCAACTTGCTTGTGTTTCCAATTTTCTGAAAATAAAAAAAATATTTTTTTTTAATTTAAATATTTTTTTTTTTTTTTTTTTTTGAAAACTTGTCTCTACTCACTTCCGAGTTCCAACACAGCCACACGTCTGCCCAACTGATCACGATTGGGAAATACCACAATGACATTGTGATCGAAAACATTTTTCTCATTACTGGGCTTCAGATCCTTGTACACATCGGCATGTTTCAATTTGAAGGAGTAGTAGTTTTTGATCTGCAAAACAAGGGAAGAAATGTAATTGGATTGTAATTTTTAATTTAATTTAATTTAATTTAATTTAATTCAAATTTACCAGCTTAAAGGCACTGTCAGGATAGTATTTACATGTCCTGAGGAAACGCAAAAGGAAGAGATCATCACGGGGACATTTCAAATTGGGTTCACCTGGAAAAAAATAAAATAAAATTAATTAAAAAAATAAAAAAAAATATTTTTTTTGAATTTTTTTAAAATTTTTGTTTAAGGTCCTCTAGCAACGTGGATTTTTTTAAAATATTTTTGGAGGTCCTACAGCAACGTGGATTATTTAAAAATATTTTTCTGGAGGACCTCAACAAAGTGGATTTTTTAAAATATTTTTTTAAAGTCTCCAAACACGTTAATTTTTTCAAAATATGTTTTTAAAAGTCCACCAGCAACGTGGATTTTTTTAAATAATTTTCTGAGGATCCACAAGCAACGTGGTTTTTTTTTAAAATATTTTTCTGGGAATCCATCAGCAACGTGGATTTAAAAAAAAACTTCTGGCGATCCACCAGCAATGAGGTTTTCTTGGAGGTCCTACAGCAACGTGGATTATTTAAAAATATTTTTTGAAGACCCAACAACAACGTGGTTTTTTTAAAAAAAATTTCTGGAGGCACAACCGCAACGTGGATTTTTTAAAAATATTTTTGGAAACCCAACAGCAACGTGGATTTTTTAAAAATATTTTTCTGAAGACACAACAGAAACGTGAATTGTTTTAAAAATATTTTTCTGGAGGTCCAACCGCAACGTGGATTTTTTAAAAATAATTTTCATGAAGTCCACCTGCAACGTGTATTTTTTAAAAATAATTTTCTTGAAGTTCATCTGCAACGTGGATTTTTTAAAAATAATTTTCCTGAAATCCACCAGCAACGTGGATTTTTTAAAAATTATTTTCCTGAAGTCCACCCGCAACGTGGATTTTTTTACATTAAATGTTTTTACTTTATATATAAATATATTTATATTTAAATATTTTTTTGGAGATCCACCAGCATCGTGCATGTTTTAAAAATATTTTTTTGGTGGTCCAAATGCAACGTGGATTTTTTTAAAAATATTTTTTGTGGTCCACCAGCAACGTGGATTTTTTAAAAATATTTTTCTGGAAACCCAACAGCAACGTGGATTTTTTTAAAAATATTTTTCTGAAGACACAAAAGAAACGTGAATTGTTTTAAAAATATTTTTATGGAGGTCCAACCGCCACGTGGATTTTTTTAAAATATTTTTCTGGAGGTCCACCAGAAACGTGGATTTTTTAAAATATTTTTTTGGATGTCTACCAGAAACGTGGATTTTTTAAAATATTTTTCTGGAGGTCCACCAGAAACGTGGATTTTTTAAAATATTTTTTTGGATGTCTACCAGAAACGTGGATTTTTTAAAATATTTTTCTGGAGGTCCACCAGAAACGTGGATTTTTTAAAATATTTTTTTGGATGTCTACCAGAAACGTGGATTTTTTAAAATATTTTTCTGGAGGTCCACCAGAAACGTGGATTTTTTAAAAAAATATTTTTCTGGAGGTCCTCCAACAATGTAGATTTTTTAAAAATAATTTTCTCCAGATCCACCAGCAATGTGGATTTTTTAAAAATATTTTTCTGGAGGTCCACCAGAAACGTGGATTTTTTAAAATATTTTTTTGGATGTCTACCAGAAACGTGGATTTTTTAAAATATTTTTCTGGAGGTCCACCAGAAACGTGGATTTTTTAAAATATTTTTTTGGATGTCTACCAGAAACGTGGATTTTTTAAAATATTTTTCTGGAGGTCCACCAGAAACGTGGATTTTTTAAAAAATATTTTTGAATGTCCTCCAGCAACGTGGATTTTTTGAAAATATTTTCCTGGAGGTCCTCCAGAAATGTGGATTTTTTAAAAAATATTTTTCTGAATGTGCATTTTTTAAATATTTTTCTGAAGGTGGATTTTTCGGAATTTTTATAAATATTTTTCTGGAGATGATTTTTTTAACAATATTTTTCTGGAGATGGATTTTTGGATTTTTTTTAATATTTTTTCTGGAGGTCAGAGGTGGATTTTTTTAAATATTTTTTCTGGAGGTCAGAGGTGGATTTTTGAAATATTTTTCAGGAGACCCAACAGCAACGTGGATTTTTTTTTAATATTTTTTCTGGAGATTGATTTTGGGATTTTTTTAAAATATTTTTCTAGAGATGGATTTTTTTATAAATATTTTTCTGGAGGTCCTCCACCAAAGTGGATTAAAAAAAAAATATTTTCAGACAACGTGGATTTTTTAAAAATATTTTTCAGACAACGTAGATTTTTTAAAAATATTTTTTAGGCAACGGAGAATTTAAAACATATTTTTCTGGAGATGTAATTTTTGATTTCTTTAAAAAATATTTTTCTTGAGATGGATTTTTTTAAAAATATTTTTCTGAAGATGGATTTTTGGATTTAAAAAAAAAATATTTTTCTGGAAATGAATTTTTGGATTTTTTTTTTAATATTTTTCTGGAGATTAATTTTTGGATTTTTTAAAAACATATTTTTCTAGAAAAGGATTTCTGGTTTTTTTTTCTAAATTTTTTCTGTAGATGAATTGTTGGATTTTATTAAAAAATATTTTTCTGGAGATAGATTTTTTTTTAATATTTTTCTGGAGATTGATTTTTGATTTTTTTTAATTATTTTCAGGAGTTCGTTCTCTGGTAGAAATTTTTAAAATTCGTGAAGTGGAGCAAAAAATTCAAAATTTCCTCTCAGAAAAATAATCAACACCAACGTTAACTACCATCTCAACTACCTTGATGGAAATCATCATCACGTGTCAAACTAGTTTTTGTTTTTAATTAGACATCGAATGCAGTTTCAGTTCAGTCACAGCTTGATTTTGAATCTCTAGCGTAAAGGTCATCCAACTCATAAAAAATCATCATCTGAACGTGTTTTAACATGAACTACATTCGAGCGAATAGTTTTTTTACAATTATTATATTTTTTTCAGTTTCTTTGGATGTGATTTATGAGAGGTTTATTTTAGGGTTTTGCGGCTCTATTCAATGTTAAAAGATAAACGTTTAATATTTTATGCGAAACTCTATTTTTGAAAGCTTTGAAGCCAAGACGACGTTAATGCATTGAAAACCATGAACTTGAACGTGAGGCAGGTGTGTATTTAGATTATAAAGAAGGAGAAGAAGTTATGGGGGCGTAAATGAGCCAATGACTGCGGCAACGAAAAAACCAATTGCCCAATTTTTCACATTGAGTTTTTCTTTTTCAGAAGCCATAAGTTTTGAAATAATTGGTGGATTTGGATAAAATAAATTGATTTTGAAAGAATAATATGTGAGCTTTAAATAGCTATAGTTATGCAGATACAGCTGGCGAAATAACAGAGATATTGCCCAAAATATGAAGACATTACAATTTACAACTTTTATACTTTTTTTGAGCAAACAGGTTCAAGAAGCCGTAACTTTTAAAATTCTCAGTCGATTTCCATGAAGTAACTTGATTTGGAAAGACTATAATGCTATCTTTGAAATGCTCACAAAATATGTTCATGTAACCGAACGAATACTCGAGATATAGCACAAAATAGACAAGCACTGAAATATGCCAATTTTGAAAATTTTCTCCGTAACTATGTTTAAGGGGTCATAACTTTTATAATAATTGGTGTATCTGCATGAAATAAATATTTCTTGAAAGAATATTAAGTTCTTTAAAAAAATAATGCAAAATATACCGATATAGTTGACCAAACACCTGAGATATTGCCCAAAACACACGAGCACCGTAATATTTTAAATTTGAGTGTTTTTCTTGCACTAATGACAAAGAGCTCATAACTTTAGAAAGAATGAAAGGATCTTAACGAAATAACTTAATTTGTAAGGAAGACTATCTAGTCTTTGTAATGGTTACAAAATATGTTCATATAGCTGACTAAACACCTGAGATATTGCCAAAAATATACGAGCTCTCTAATATTTAAACTTTGAAAGGTTTTTCGGCGTTCATAACAAAGAGCTCATAACTTCGAAAATAATGAACGGATCTCAATGAAGTAACTTAATTTGGAAAGAAGAATATCTGGTCTTTATAATTACTGCAAAATTTGTTTATATAGCTGACCAAACACCTGGGATATTACTCAAAATATACGAGCACCCTAATATTTCAATTTTAAGTGATTTTTCTTCACTCGTAACAAAGAACTCATAACTTCGGAAATATTGAACTGATCTCCATGAAACAAACTGATTTGGAAAGAAGAAAATCTGGTTTTTAAAATCACTGCAAAAAATTCCGATATAACTGACCAAACACCTGAGATATGGCCAAAAATAAACGAGCTCTAATATTTAAACTTTGAAAGGTTTTTCGGCGTTCATAACAAAGAGGTCATAACTTCGGAAATAATTAAGCGATCTTAATGAAACAAACTGATTTGGAAAGAAGGATATCTGGTCTTTATAATGACTACAAAATATATTGATGTAACTTACCAAATACAAGTGCTATCGCCCAAAATAGACGATTACCCTAATATTTTCATTTTGAGCCGTTTTTCCGCAATAACTGCAAAGGGGTCATAACTTTGGAAAGAATGAACGGATCTCAGTGAAACAACTTGATTTGGAAAGAAGAAAATCTGATTTTTACAATGACTACAAAATATAGCGATATAACTGACCAAACACCTGATATATTGCCCACAATATACGAGCAACCTAATATTTCAATTTTGAGTGATTTTTCTGCAGGTATAACAAAGAGCTCATAACTTCGGAAATATTGAACTGATCTCCATGAAACAAACTGATTTGGAAAGAAGAATGTCTGGTTTTTAACATAACTGCAAAATATTCCGATTTAGATGACCAAATATCTGAGATATTACCCAAAATATACGAGCCTCGTAATATTTCAAATTTGAGTGATTTTTCCGCAGTCATAACATAGAGCTCATAACCTCGGAAAAAATAAGCAGATCTCAGTGAAATAACTTAATTTGGAAAGAAGAATGTCTGGTTGTTATTATGACTACAAAATATATTGATATAACTGACCAAAGACCTGAGATATCGCTCAAAATATATGAGCACCTTAATAATTAAATATTGTGTGGGTTTTCTGCACTTATGACAAA